TAAATAGAATCAAAAATTCGTTTAAAATGGGTCGATTGGTGATGTAATTTATGTATTTATGGAGGTGAAAATCTACAAATAATAAAAGAAAAAGAAATATTCGTATTGTCCTCTAAACGGGTCGTAGATAACTGAAACTTTGAAAAGCACTTAACATAAACATTTTTTAAAGGTTTACTCCTATTTAACCTCTTCGCCTGAATGGTTTGAGTGGCTTGCAAGAGTTAATGAACAGGATAAACGACCAAGTGCATGATAATAACAAAACAAAATGTCAAAAACTGTCAACTGTTCATTAGAGAGGGATCAGTGGAACGGGTTCCTAAGTTCACTTATCTGGGAACGACAATTAATGAACAATGGGATCACTCTCAAGAGATTAAGTGCCTTTATCAAAATCTCAAAGCTTTTTAAAAGCCATATCAGACTCTTAAGATGCTACGTTTTCTCGACACTCCTCTACGGGGTGGAGTTGTGGACACTGACCGAGGCAACTCAAAGAACACTGGAAGCATTTGAAATGTGCCTGTACCGAAGCATTCAGTGTTGGACAGAATGAACAAGGAAAAGGAAGTGGTAAGCACTATAAAGAGAAGAAAACTTGAGTACCTAGGCCATGTAATGCGAAAAGACAGCAAATGCCGCTTTCTCAAAGAAATACTCCAAGGAAAAGTTCACGGGAAGAGAGGACCTGGAAGACGAAGAATATCATGGTTGAAGGATTGAAGAACATGGTTTTTCAAAACAACCATTGAATTGTTCAGGGCAGCCGTGAACATGGTCATTATAGCCAGAATGATGGCTAATATTTGAAAGGAATAGGCACCTGAAAAAGAAAAGAAATTCTTCTTCTTGCAGTGTCATTGGCTAACGGAGGTTGGCGATCACTTTTCTGAATACGTCTTTGTCTCTTGCAACGCGAAACAGCTCTCTACACTCATCTGAGTCCAGTCCCTGGTGCTTCTTGGGTAGGATTTCTCCTTTCTTCCTATTCCTTTTCTTCTATCTGTAGTACTTATTATTTATTGGCTGTTTTTCTTCGTTTGATCGTAATCATTAATTTCCTTTCTTGTCCTATTCTTCTTAACAGTTCCGCATTAGTAATTCTAGCAGTCCAGGGTATTTTTAAGGTTCTGCGATACAGCCGCATTTCAAAAGACTAGTTTCTTGATGGTCTGAACCTTGAGCGTCCAAGTTTCATCACCTGACCCTGTTCACCAGTGAACCGAAGCGTATATTATTAATTATCTCACCTCCTATCTTAATGCCTTCTTCTCTTTCCCAAAGGGCCCGATGAAATATGAAATATTATTTGCGCAATTAAATTGAAGAGTGTAGGCGAAAGTGCACAGCTCTGCATAACACCTTACTGTTTACAGTGTCTTTTTGAAGAGCGCTATATCTTGTTCATCAAGTTGAATGTTGATTTTTTTGGAGGAGAACTGTCATTGCGAATAAGGCTTCTCTGATTTCCATGCCTCCTCGGAAGCCAAGCTGCGAATTATCTAATTGTAGATTATTTTCAGGGGATGGTACATGAGACTTATGAGTCTGTAGTCGTTTCCCGATTTCGAGTTTTTCGTTTTAGGTAGAGGTAAGAATGTCGATGTTAACCATGCTGGTGTGATCTTAATAACTCTATCCATTCCAATGGTTTTTAGGACACACACGAAAATAATACAACACATTCAAATCCTCGCCTCTAAGATAAGAAAAAAACTGGAACTAATGACTTAACTTATGGGTGTATCCATCTTTTTCTTTTGAAAATATAAAACCAGTGAATCAGGTGATTGTTGTTCTATCGTTCTATTGGAGAATGCTACGATGCCTCTTCTAACAATAGCATTTTTTTTATTATTAAACAGCTTGCTTTACATTTTATTACATTTACATATCTAAAAGTGGTTTTCTCAATTTTAGTTATTCCTGAACCTAGAGAAAGCGGATCTTATGGTGGTGGTTTAAAATGTTTAGAACATTTAAAAATTAGAACACCATGTAGTGTAGTGAGTTGTACATACTTAGGCATTTTTTTGAAAGTTTTATGCTGCTGAGCTGAGAGTAAAAATGTCAGCGGTGCTTGTCCAGAAATTTGAAGCTAACGAATTGAGATTTTCCCCTGTTATTTTATTTATAATAAAGTTGTGGGTTCACGCAGTTTGTTATTTCGCATTTTTGTGACACCCCGGCTAGTAGTCATACCACCTATTTCCAAAGCAAATTAAAAATCGTGTTTATATGTTGCAAAAATTAACAATAAACATTGACCTCATTTGTAATTTCTCGCGTAAACTGTCACGCCCCTCACGTGACCCGATTATATTTATTTCAAATATATTGTATTTATATTTATTTTATTTTATAATATTTTATGACTTACCCCCCCCCCCCCCTTAATAAAAATTTCACATTTCTTTTTGCGGTATACAATAGAAAACCTGTAATCCCAGACGAAAACAAAAAGCGTCGTTAAAATCGCCAAAACCAAAGCTTAATGAAGAAACCATACCCTTTTATACATTTTGGTCTAATTATAACTCCGACAATCGGGAGAAACAAAGCCACTTTGAACTTCGTTAAGTTTCCTTTGCGGTGGCCGCAAGCTCATTAGCACTCTGAAACTAAGTGTAATGAAACAGAACTATATAGCGAAATAAGGCAAATTACAACCCGGTGAAACGAATCTTAACCATTTACTTAGCTTTCCCATTTTCTGCTGCACGTTGTACAAGGTGTTTCAGAACTAGTGAATCAATTTTTTTCTTTTGAAAGCACCACATTTTTCTGGATTGTCTTGTTTCCACGAGACACGCAAATTTTATTCACAAACAATACGATTTTGTAAATTTTTAAAAATGGCACGCCATTTATGTCAATAAAAATTGATGTTAAAGAAACTTCTACCCTAAAGTAAGCACACGCTCTAGTACAAGCAAGTTAACTCGAACCAGGTTCATTTTTCAAGACAGAACTTCATGCGCCATATTGGAAAGACTGTCGAAAAGGATATTCGCTAATAATATTCTAAGTTAAGTTCTTGAAACTAAGTTTACAATTAAGTTTTAGCATTTTTAAGCTTTAGTTAAGTTAATTTTGTCGTTCAATGCCAAATTTGGCGGAAATGTGAGGGTATAAATCACAAAGTAACTATAACTAACCAAAATAACAATAAAAAAATTAGATTAAAGATAAAGGTAAAAATAAAGATAGCTTTATTTCCATAAGACTTGATTTACAAGTGTTGGATATTGTCAGCATAATGTAAAAGTTTAAAATTATCTTAGTATAATTAGTAAATTAATAATAATAATAATAAGTAATACTGATGGACAAATAACAAATATAGAAACAATAACAAACAACGAATACGTATTAAAAGGTATCACAACAAAAGAAAATCCTTAATTAAAGAGTGCATTTGAATGTTGTTTGACTAGTTATCTCCTTCAGTTCGATAGGCAATTTATTCTAAATTTTTACAGTCAAAACAAAGGGACTATTTGCTATTTGCTGTAAGAGACAGTCGATGTGTAGGTATTTTTATGTTAAGATTCGGTCTTAAACTGTACTGAATATCTGGTTTTCTTGAGGGCATATAAAGATTAGACTTACTTTTTACATACGTGGCACAATTTAGTATGTACATACTAGGAAGTGTCAATAAAGAGTGTTGTGGAAATAGGTTCCGACATGAAAAATTCCAAGGCTTAAACAGTATAGTCCGTAAAATTCGTTTCTGCATCCTAAAGACTTGCTCCGCACGTGGGGAACCTCCCCAACAAACCAAGGCGTAGTTAAGACACGAATAGACATACGAAAAATAGTACCTGATGGTGGAGCCTCCATATAACAAAGCAGTAAACAGATAGTTTTCTGGGAATGCGGCCCACCTGTTCGAACCAGGAGAGTCTCGAGTCTACATAAACTCCGAGGAATTTTACAACACTTTTCTGTTGAATTGTGCTTTCATTAAAGCGTACTAATAAACTCTTATT